TATATGATTTATTCTTTGAAATTAAATTTGACTGTATTTTGTTTTGAAGGGTGCTATATTCTTGGAATGTTTCTTTCTTCTCAGTGATATAAATTGAACCAGATACTAAAGCACAAACTGGCATTTGAAGAATTTTTCGTTTTGCTTTTCCACTTTTGTATGGAATATTGGGGAAAAATCTATTCCAAAGATAAGGTAGTGATACTGGGCCTTTGTTAAGAACTATGTATGCAGCATCAATTAAAAGTGAACACTTTGGACATGCATTACAATCTTTGTGTATTTCTTTACATTTCGCCTTCTTGGCAAGAACATATTCTGTCAAACTCAACCCTTTAAACAAACTAATATTAACAAAATCGGAAAATGTCTGTTTTTTTAGTGTCTGCAAGGTTTCTGGACTCTTGCTTGTGTAAAATTTCAACTAATTCCACCACTGTTCTACTACCAGTAGCCCCCTGATTCTTGGTAATCTGTCACTCTAAAGTCACGAAAAAGGAACCCTTTCCATTTCCACTTCTTTGAACTCAATATTTTTTTTCTCTTCCACTATGATGTTGGTATTCATGGGTTCTGTTTGTGTCAAACTAAATATTTTCTACTTCTCTATCCTCTTCTGATTTGCATCTTCACATTTTTGCGAGGGTAGATTAGTATTTTCCAACAACTTGACTTCTTTCTTTCATTTTCTCCTATGACATAATTTTCATACTGCTTCGTTCTGCTTAGGACCATAATATATTTCTGTGTTGACAGGATGGATCTTTTCTTCAATGTACATTTGCCCTTCAGCCCTGTCTTCTTCATTTACACTCTTAGATTCTTCTTCATTTGTACTCTTAGATTCTACTTCATTTGTATTCTTAGATTCTTCTTCATTTGTACTCATAGATTCTTCTTCATTTGTATTCTTAGATTCTTCTTCATTTGTACTCATAGATTTGTCTTCATCACTGGTAAGTAATACTGTATCACCACTTGCTGGACGGTGGCAGGTTTGTAATTGGCTGTCGCTTGACTCATTTTCTTGCTTCCGCATAAAATACCTGATATCGTTTTGAAGAATATCTTCATATTCACTGGAAGAAGTTTTACTACTTTGGTTTTCACCACTTCTTTTCTCTAGGTATTTTTGGTGTTTAATTTATTTTTTTTGCAGATTGGAAAACTTTTTCATCAGTTTTCATTGGAAAACTTTTTCATCAGACCATTCAGGTCTTTAATCAGCTTGTGTTGTTCGCCATGCAACTTGGCACCTCCTTCAAAGTATAGTTACTTTAGAATGGCCAATATCTCTTTCAATTCTAGTGATTCTTGAAGTAATCATCTACATTTTCTCTTAATAGGATGTGATCTCTTGTTTTTGCTCTGTGGCTGATGTTTTATGAATATTTTCTCCATCTTCAAATTTTGATCTTGATGCAGGTTTTCATTTGAATATGTAGGATTTGCATGCTTTTTCCTCAGCAGCCAATTTCAACTGAGCACAGTCATACATCTTGTGTGGTGCTTCTTGTGTTATTACAAATGCTGCATCATTTACAGCTACTTGCCAGCTTGAGAGTTTGGCATGATCCTTGAACCTGCCATATATTTTAGACTGTTCTTTTATCACCTGTGTACTAATCGCTGGTTGAATGATCTTTAGCTTAGGGAAAGACCTTATAGAGGTTGACTGGATGCTATTGGTATGTTCTACTGAATAATCTATTCTGATAGTGGGAATAGAGGCACTTTCCTTCAAATCTTTTTCTTTCAGTTGCTGGAACTTCTCAAATTTCAAAAGCAGACCTGCTTTTTTATCATTGCCTTTATTTTGCTTGATCATTTAATAGCACAAAAGCATCGCCATCAATTTCATTCTCTATACAAAGACTGCATAATTCCCTATTAACATTGTTGTATCAATAAGAATTGTATCAAATTTTTTCTAGTATGTATATACTTCATGAAATAGGACATGAACTGACTAAGTTAGATGAATCTTCCTTGAATAGTTGAATTACAGTATATGGAATTAAGCATATTTGCTTGGCAATGCACCCAAATGTACCTACTGTAGTATTTTACTCTGTCTAATGCCAGAGTATTTAGTCAAGTCAATTTATTTTGCCACACATAGAGTAAATACAAAAAATTAAATATAATAATTATGGTATGAAGGCAACGAAGCCCAAATGAAACCAAGAGGCTTATGAGTTTTGGGCTACCTTATTATAATCCGATAAAACCTGGAATCAGGAAGTATTATGTATGAATTTATTTACAACAATATGGATTTTACGCTCGCATATTGAAAAGATAAACTTTCAATTTTTTAACAGGAAACAGACGGAGCATCATAAATATTCTGAGTAATAGAATTAGAAAACTTCACACCTTAATAAATAACAGATTTATTTATTAAATTTATTTTCTTAAACGAAAATGCTCTTAAAACTGTATAGTAACTTCTTTTGAAGATATTTGTTCCCATGCTTAGTTCTTGAGATATTTCATTTTGTTTGTAACCATGTGACGTTATTTACTCAATTACATATATAATGAGATATCATTAATTGTTGTGTATCTTTACTATTTTTGATGGATTTGTTTAAAAAAAACCCAGTATGTTTAATGATGTAGATTAAATTAACAATCCCGCTGCGTCGTTGGAAAGATTTCTATAAAAATAGCAGAGATACACAACAATTACTGATATCTCGTTATATAATATATGTGATTAAGTAAATGACGTTGCATGGTTACAAACAAAATGAAATATCTAAAGAACTAACCATGGGAACAAAAATCGTCAAAACAAGTTATTATACAGTTTTAAAAGCATTTTCGTTTAAGAAAACAAAAATTTTGACAAGTGTGCCACTTTAATATTTGTTCTACAGAAGGGGACATAATACAATTTCGAATTATGTGTGTTATAATTATGAACTTGATTAACACTTCTCATTAATAATTCATGAGCAATTCAGCCAATGATAATCACCTATTTGATCACAAGATGCCATTTGGATAACCCAGTGAAACTTTATAAAAGTCACTAGTGTTTTCATCAAATATCTTAATTACACATGCAAAATTACTTGAATAGAATTCCTAATTACGTTATGCTTGGTTGAGAATTCTATTCAAATCAGCAAACAAAAAAATTCCTTAAAATTAATCGAATATCCCGGTGAAACACTCGCTCTCGTTGTTCATATATTACAAGAAAAATTAGCCGGTAGCACTCTTTTGTGGAATAAAAACATAAATTTACCTAAGTGGAATAACTATATCTTCTGAAATGGGAGAAGTTCAAGATCATTAAACATGGGCTCAGTATGAGCATAATAATGCAATACGTCTTAGGTTTGATGGATACGTTGAACACCAGACTAAAATACAATATTGTATTTATGGATAAACAAGAGAATAATATAGTGTTAACAATGTTGATTTAGAGAGGTAAAAACTAGCCTATTGAATGATGCCAATCGATTTAGACATTTTCCTTGTTACATGCGAAATATGAGATTTCCAAGAGACGTGCTCATCCAAAATTACTCTGAGAAAACTAACCTCATTAAGGAAATTTGATGACTACTTAGGACTATATTAACATCAACATTACATGATTTTTGTTTCGGTCTAAAAATCATGAACTTAGTTTTTTCAAAATTAATTGATAATCTATTAGCAGCAAACCAATCAGATACTTTAAGTAACTCGTAATTGACTTGATCAATTAGAAATGACAGGTTTTTATGTGAGTGGAATAAATTTGTATCATCAGCAAATAACACATAGTGAAGGATATCTGAAGCATTACAAATATTGATATATAGTAAAAAGAGTAAGGGACCAAGTATTGATCCCTGCGGTACACCACAATTGATTGGTATTTTTTGAAAACTTATACCATTATATACAACAAATTGTTGCCTTTCATTACAATAACTTTTAGACCAGTCTAGAAGATCACCTCTAATTCCGTAATGTTGAAGTTTATCAAACAAAATACAATGATCTATGGTGTCAAATGCCTTGGATAGATCCAAAAAAATACCAACTGTGAACTCCTTTATATCAATTCCTGAAGAAATTTTGTTATATAGATCCAATAAGGCTAAAGAAGTTGAATGATCCTTTCTAAATCTATATTGATTTTCAGTAAACAACTCTTTCAAAGACCTTAGAAAAAATTGGAAGGACTGAAACTGGTCTGTAGTTTGACATAAGTATACGATCACCTGATTTAAAATACAGGTATTGCTCTTGCAATTTTTAAAAAATTCCAGACGATATAGATAGATTAACAATGTGAACTAAAGACTTAGCAATTAGATCAATAGATTCTTTAATAACAGACACAGGTAAATTGTCGTAGCCAGAGGCCACACTGTTCCTAAAAGAATTTACAATTTCTGTTATCTCTTGCTCTGTCATTATATAAAAAAACATACTATCTACAAACTCACCAGAAAAAAACGAATTTGGGGAAACAGGAACCTGTGGAATCTTACTAGCTAGATTGGACACTAAAGTTGAAAAATATTTGGAAAAATTATTGGCTATTGAAATTGGATCTGAAGCATTATTAATTATAGATGTAGATGGGAGTTTGTTTTTTATGTTTATTGATAATTCCATTCAAGATATTCCATGTTTTTTTACAATTTGACTTATTACGCTCTAATTGCTGCTCATGGTGGAAATGCTTGTCTAATCACAAAGATGATTGAATTTATTGCTATACCTAGTTTCCACCTTATACTATTTTTAATTGCCGATATTTTCAATTTTTCATTGAAACTTGTGCAATTTTTTTCAAATTTACTAAATTATTTTGATACAATTTTATCGAGTATTATTTCATTTTGGATAATTAAATTCGGGGTTTTCTCAAATTTCCGCCCGAAATACTGCCTGTATTTGCGGGTTTTGCACTAGTACTATATCACATCGTCCTGAAGTCGTAGCATTTGCTTCATTCTGATTGGCTTGCTTCGTTTAACCGTAGCAAACCAATCATAGCGCTGTGTTTGGAAATTTTTGCAGTGGTCAGATTGAAACTGACCGTTGCAAAAATTCACAAATACGGCGTGCTGATTGGTTTGCTACGGTCAGACGAAGTAAGCCAATCAGAATGAGGCAAAATGCTACTGTTTGCAATAGTCGCATCGACTTCAGAGCGATGCTGGCTTGTTATTGTCGTGTCGGCTCCTCGTTGTAATCGAATAGTCGGTAAATTGTAATCGCTGCTCGTTGCAAGGAGAAAGATATGGCTTCTACAGGACTGTATACAGATCCACACCACGATCTTTTGTGTATAATGAACGAATGTAACATGTTTCATTTTAATAACGAAAAGGTGCGCACGCGAAAGAATTCTGATCGAAAGTATTGGTGTGCAATTATTGGCATAATTTACAGTTCCCGCGATGTGATCTGTGAAGAACAGCGCTGTTTGAATCACCTCCGTGTCAGGTCAGTCTCATGAATAGTACATTAAATATGTAAATAACATATCGAATTGTTTACACAGTTCATGCGTCTCGAATATATTACCATATATTTGCTGATGAGACGTATTATTATAAAAATGCAGAACAATATCAATGGCCACTCACAGTCTCACACTATTTGATAGCCATTGGAATGCCCTGTGTGTTTATATTAAGAAATATGTGAGTAATTTTATATCTTAGACTTTGCTCATGTAATTATTAGTTGTAGACCTGTTGTAGTCTAAAGACTAGTGAGTAGTGTAAATGAAATTTATAGAAATAGTTACATTCCGATATATTATATTGTAGTTTACACGTATACTAACAGAGTTTAGAATTACAACAGCTGAGCCTGCTTCCTAGGATAACGTATCATAAATATATGGTTAGATGTTTCAAATCCATGTAGTGTATACGTCACTTGTATTAAAATTCGCGTCGTATACTCATTTTCGTTCAGCTTTAAATTCACGCATTCCAATTTCGCAAAACCTTGTTCGCGCAGCTTTAAATTTGCGCAAGTAATTTTCTGTGTTGGTTCCTTTTGGTTTGTTTTAATAATAGAGCTAAAACAACAAATACTTCAATATTTGTCAAAACAAAATTCATGATAACAGTAAAGCGTATAAAGTTCAAACCTCAAAATGTATGGTTTTCATTTGCCTAATACAATAACAATAACTAATTTTTATTGGCATCCCATATATAATAGGTTCATACATGGTATTGTCTTACATTATATTATTTACTAACAACGAGAGAATATTACACCGCAAAGCTTTTTGCGCGGATTATATTTCCCGCAGTACTAAAATTTGCGCACCAAGCTCTGCGCGAATTCCTGCAGTACTGCTCGAATTTTAGTACAAAAAGCATATACAAATAAAGATTTTCCTAATTATCGTTGTGCTGCTGTTTCAAGATTATCTACAAATAAACATTTTCCCTATATTAACTTGAAGATCATCTATATACAGTACAGAAAATAATTTTCCTGACTGCCATAAGTTGTCCTGCTGTTTCGGGATGATCTATATATGCTGCTTGGCCAGATAAACATTTTCCCTAACAGTCGCTTGGCCAGTAAACATTTTCCCTAACTGTCGTTGGGCCGCTGTTTCAAGATGATGTACATTTGAAAACTATCGAACTACTGTTATCTTACTTTTTCAAGATAATCTATTGTTCGAAGTGGTATGTTGATGAATAAATTTTGTAACTTTTGTGCGTTTTTTTCTTATTTTTGTGTGAAAAACAGGCACTTTTCTACAAATTTTAAATCTAATTTCGATGCTCAGAATGCAGGAAATGGTACTTGTGGGCTTCAAATTTCAAAAATTTTCTTGGGGGGCAATGCCCCCAAACCCACCTAGGTAGGGCGTGGCCTTCGGCCCCGCATGTTCATTTCATCCTAAATGCTACGGTCAGATTGGGACGCTGAATCCGCCCCTGCATTAGATAGCAATACTTATTTTCTTTCAAAATTTTCCCGATTAATATGTTTAATGATTAATATGTCGACTAAATTTTGACTAGGCGGTCGATAAATCACACCAGCTATATAATTTTTCCCTTTAGGATTATCAATTTCAACAAATAACGATTCAGCGAGTTTTTTATTATTGAAATGCAGGTCATCACAAATTCTATATTCAAATTCACAAGCAATGTACAGACCGACTCCGGTTTTATCACGCCGATAATTGTGCACAAAAGAGTATCCATCCGTGTCAACATGGTGAGTTAAATCCTGCCATGTTTCAGAAATGACAGAAAACTTATTATTTATAGTCGCAATTAAATTCTGGAACTGAGACAAGTTATATTCAAATGCATGAAAGATAAGCAAGGATCACTTTGACTTTGATTGTTTCTCTGCAAGATGCTATTTACACTGCTCTCAGTATAAAAATCACAATTTATTAAAATCATTCAAAAAATTAGAATCCGGGTTGAGGTATATTGTTGATTGCAATGAAGTGGATTTAGCTTCAAATTAGGCCAAATAAAAATAATAGCTGGTTTCAGGTTTCCGACCAACCTGTCAAAAATATGACCGACCATAAACATTTTATTGACATTTCCCAGTAGAGATAATCTTTTCGTAAATATCAGAATATATAAATAGTCATCAGACTCATTTGCTACAAATTATTTTGTTTGCTCATAATTTAATCATTATCTAGTGATATTAATCATTGATGCGTTTGTTTCTCACAAAAAAAAGTTAGCTTGCAGGTGATCCCACGTGGCACGTCTGATTATGTGACAGTTACTCATAAACAACTAATATTTATTCCATACTTGAGATAAAATATTTTTTTAAATAGAATGCTTTTCCAACCTACCTACCCATATAAAACATGGCTGTGAAACCTGAAACCAACTACTATTTTTGTTTGGCCTTAAGTAATCTATCGGCTTTGAAATTAACCCTACCATGTGACAATTCATACATTTCTAGTTCAAAACTATCATGATCGAGACTGCTAAAAGGAAGATCCTCAAGCGCATTGTAAATATCAGAAGCGACAAGATCGTCAAAAATCAATCCTAAGAATTCTTGACGGTGGTTTCGAAAATGAAGACCTACGAAAACGAAGACCTAAGATGGGTCTTCGGTCTTCGTAATTACGAAAACGAAGACCCTAAAATATTCATTTACATTGTTTTTGCGAAAATAAGCGTAAAAGTGTCGTGAAAAATTTCGGATAAATTCTGGCAAAACGTAAGGTAAAAACAATTCAGCAATAATATATAAGTAAATCAGTAAACCACCACCCATGCCATGCATTTCAGTTAAAGTCAAAGGCAAACATTAGACTAGTAAGAAATAAATAACTTTAAAATATAAAATGTTAACAACAGAATCACAATTGTAAAATGTACAATGTTAACAAAACTTTAACAATATTCCACATGTACCTGTATAAATGCATGTACTGTACCATTGTCAATGTCTCAATGTCTGGGCAAATCAGTTTGAATCCGGTAATATCACGGTTAATAGAACCACAGAGTAAGTACACACAGAGGTCTCACTTCAGATTAATTTAGCGTAAGGGATTTTTCAGTCCGCCATGTTCTTAGCAAGCATTGTTAGCATGCAAGTGCCCTAACGAGAAGCAGTCACGTACATAAAAAATATTGAAATTTAATCTTCCAGGGGAATGAATGCCTCTCTTTAGGGCACTTGCTATTTGCTAAAAACATAGCCGACAGCTATTTTGGTAAAAACTACCTTACGCCATTCCCTCACAAGTGAGACTTCTGTATCTAAGTATACTCTGTGATAGAACTAAGAGGTAATAACTTATGAACATTAAATTATATATTATTTAATAAATTAATAATTTGTATGAGGTTTGAAATAACCAGTGCCAAAGTGCTCGATGGATAACCAGAGCATAATAACTTAATTAAGACACAAAAACGTTGTCCAACAAAGCTTCCTAAAGCCTGTTTTCCACTTCAATCGTAACGTACTGCAGCATTTTCTTTTATTTCGAAGTCATTAGTTCCATTCTGGTGGTCAGGAAGCAAAGAAATACGACACGTTTAGGTATGATATCATTAAAGTGGAAAACTGGCTTAAGGGAGGACTTCCCACTTACAGAAAAGTATTTCAAAATATTTTGCTTGATTTCTTTTCAGTTGTGACCATCCAAATAAATCAGTTCTACTTGACCGCTTCGACTGAGTTGAGTGAGAAATTTTTCTTGCAAGTGGTAATCCAGCTTAAGTCTTTGTGTCTTGTATGTAACTTATAAGAGAAGCATATACTGACTTCTGAAGTAAAAATACATGTATTAAATTTCTGCACAGCCACTCAATCTTAGATATGCGTCTTGCATTTGATTCGAGCAAAGGCCCTTTGTCAGAAGAGTTTTGTTGCAAAATGTTGTGTTTAAACTACTAATTGACAGTTTCCAGTGTTATGTATACCAAATCCAATCGACACATGGTCAGAAAACTTGCCAAACCTAATTAAGAACTCTCTAATGAGCTGCTATTTGTGGCTTCGCCATGCTGCTGCACAAATCTTTTGAAATTTTCTATAATATTAATATTTCAAACGATTGCTAATTGGCTATATATGCCAAAAATCTATTGACTTGTCTTCAGCAGGTACAAACATAAGAATAGGTTAACTTTGCCATGACTTTGCATAAGTTAACAGATCATAAACTGAATGACTATACTCACACTTGAAGAGAAAATTGAGAAACCAGATGCGCGATATGAGAAGGGTGAAGTTTTTCTTTAACTTCTTTGGGAATTATGATGTAATCGTTCGTGAAGTAAGGAAATCTTGCCTTCATACACGCGAAATCCGCATGATAATACCTTATTGCCTCCTTGTTTGAAGCTTGCTTATTTTTCCAGTCGCCGTTGAGAGGGAAATAATATCGTTCACAGTGTTCGAAAACTAAATCATGAGGAATAACTCTGACCCGATGGCAGAAATCCTTGTTACATTGCTTGCACTTTTTTGCCTCAGCTGGAAGGATGTGCAGAATAAATGGATTGTCATTGTGATAGATTTTGTTGTAAACATGAGAACTTGCTGATGCTTGTGGGTTATCATTGCTGGCACTTGAAATGCTTGCATGTCCTTGTGAACGAGGTGGCCGATAGGAATATTTATTGACCGACCCCTTTTTCCCTGCCACTCCTTTATCAAGGGCACCTTCTGCCAACGCTGTTCTTGAACGAGATTTCGAACTTTTGCATATGAACTGAAGGTGTTGCTCGAGAATACCCACTTTCTCAGCAACAGCAATAGAATGCTTGCAAACTTTATCATATTTAAAACTGGCACAACGACATGGCTCTTGCTTAAAGTACATTCGACTTTGCCGTGCTTGGCATGTCTGGACGCAACTTCATATTTCTTTGCTTCAAATAGATTAAGCGTTGCTTGTTGTTGGATGGCACCAGGTAGATTGAGAAGGGTAAGCGCCCTGTCGACAACTACGGCTACGAGTTCATCTTTGTAAAGCATTTTGTTTCTCGAAATTGAAGAGACGTCTATGGAAAGATCTTTATATTCCTGGCTTGCAGGGATTTCCAACGCTGAATTCAATTTGATTTCTTTTCTTTGTAACACGTCATCGATCGATAGTGACTTGAACTTGATTACATAATCGTTTCTTTCCTTCTCGGACCATTCAAACCAACAATCTACAGGAACGGTAAGGTAATCAACGAATGGTGCAAGTTGGTATAATTCGCTTAATCCCCACAGCGCTAGTTTAAGCTCTTCTTGCTGCTTGTTGTGTATTTCTTCGAATAAATTTCTAGTGAATTCTAGTTTTGAAAGATTCTGGTCATTTCCCTTCTTGTTGGTGCGCATATAATCCAACTTCGTTTGCGCCATGACACTATTCATTGATTCTGAGGAATTAGTATATGGGCGGATTGGTCTCCCGCTGGCATCTATCGGCATCTCAGCTTTACGCCTACTCCTTAGGCTCATCCTTTTCCCAATCATGTCGACTTTCTTGCCAAGGTACGTTGTAAATTGGGGCTGATAATCATCTTTCTTTTGGAGTATTTCAATTTCTTGCTTGTCTAGGATATCTTTGCATGATCAGAACATTTCCTGAACAGCATTTTTGTCCTCTGCGTCAACCATTCCTTCACTTTTGTCTTGAACACCAAAAACCTTTTCTAGGAAGACTTTTTGGTCCTTCTTTTGTTGTATACCGATCTTGTGGAGTTTCTGCTTACAGTTCCCTTCAAAATGTTTTATACATTGAATGTGTTTGGCATGGTGCAGTTCCGTTTTCCATGCTTTGTCAAGAGCTTCTTCGGCTGGCTGTGTTTATCGGAAGTGCAGCATCGTACGAGGTCTGTACACATTACATCTGTTCCAAGTACCCACAAGTTTGTTGGCATGTCCTTGTGACGCATTACCAGTTTAGTGTCTTTTTGCCGGCCGTAAATAAGCAGGTCATCTACTGGGTCGACTGCTGATAGGACTTTATACTGCATATCATAGACCTGCTTTCATGAACGTGGGAACTCTCCAGGGGTTCTTGCTTTGCTTGGGCCACCACTTTTTTCCATGACTGACTTGTATACCTGGGATGCTGGATTTTTCGTCACTTGGCCTTTAATTGCATATGCTGCAGTTATATTGTTGGAAATTGTATAGTTGGCCGGTTGATGGATAGTACCCGCCTTATCAGAAGTTTTACATTTCTCAGCATTTTCAGAACTACTTGAATGTCTACCTTCGAACAATCCTTCCTGAAATCAAACAGTGAATCGACATATTTTATTACGTCATTACTATTTCTCGCGATACAAGACAAATTAGTTAAATTGAAAAAAATTGGGTACAATAGCATCGTAAGTATCATGTTTCATTCCTTGGACAAATAGTGATTATCGACAGATTGGTAATACCATACAAGTAAGATAACTATAGATCACTATGCAATATGGTATTACAAATCAACACCAAACAGAGTTGCAGTATGTTAGTTATGTTATTTTGTGTGACGAGACCTTTTCCTGTTGCTATTCCTAGCCTGTAGAACTATTTACTTCCTTGTGCGTGCAAGGTCTCAACTACTGTATTTCCTAGTAAATTTTCACATATTTTATACTAAAATCAAATTTCATTTAGGATTATTAATTTTGAGAAGTACAATTAATAAGCTGCATGCAGCTATAATTGCAGTAGACTGTACAGTCATACGCGAAATTGCATGAGTCGGTTTACTTGACATCTAAATATAACATCAATAACTTTGTTAGATAATTTGAGCTATACTCTACAGTGGAATATATAATACATGCAGAATTCTGACAAGATTCAGGTCATATCATATAACAGTGACGACATACTAATACCTCGCGTATATTGCTAACCTTATCACACGTTTTGTTTTTTTCTGCCTTTCCATTTCCAGAACTACTCGTGCTGCTTCCCATCAATAATACTTCCTGAAATTAGCTTAAATCATTTAACACGTATACATAGCCTACATGCACTATTTTTATTTTTAATATAATAGAAGACATACATTATTACATTATGAATCAGGCATTCAAATAAGGAATTTTTACAAGGACATGCACACTTTACGTCCATGCCAAGGGCAACAATCATTTGGAAGTGTGTCAGACTAGCTTGAGCATAAATACTCGTCAACTAAGAAAAGGCTTTATCAAATATTCGTTAAAGTTCAGTGTCTTTTAAGGCCATTTTCCATTGCAGTCGCTTTGCCCGCGCGGGTGGAGCGACCAATTTTAATCACGTGAAAAATCAGTTGCCCGGGCACGCCAAGAAAGTTGAATGTAGTTCTACTTTCATGGCGTGTCCGCGAGCATTCAGGCGGACAAAAAATGCACAGGTTAGGCAACTACAGAGAAAGTTGAGTAATTCACTCCGCCCGCACGGGCAAAGCGACTGTAATGGAAAATTGCCTTTAAAGGAAAAAATTTGTTTCAAATAGGTAAAATGCGGGCCAATAACTTTTTAATTTTCACCGTAACTTGAACAATAGCTAGTTATATCATGAGCTAATGCATATATATATTTCAGTGCGGTATCAGTAAATATTTTATAATTTGGGGGTCACATGTACTGAAGCGCCATTTTGGCACTTTTGGTAGTCCAATGGTTGAGGCTATCTAACAAGTAGCCTACGTAAATCATGCAGTCTAAATAATTCATAATTAAATTTTCTATTGTCTGCTGAAAATTCTTAAAGGCGAGTCCTGATTTTTGTAGTATGATTTCTGCGGACATTGTCATTACTGATCATTGAACCGCACATATAGGAAAATAATTGAAGCCGTTGGTAATTTTACAGGCGTTTCTTGACATGTTATAAACAGAAAAACCAGAAACATATAAACCAGAAATCAGATATATCTAGCTATCATCAGGTAATAAACACATGATTACTTTAAACAATATTGCCTGTGGGAAATATCTGGGAATGGATTTTCTGGGCTTTATATGGGCTTATATTCTATTTACAAGGACACAATTCCTTTTACAAGGACACATTTCCTTTTACAAGGACACAAATTGTGTCAACATATAGCCTCTTACCTCCTTTCCATTTTTGCTAACACCAGGCGATTTGAGGCATTGTTGATCGCTCTGCTCACCGTCCTCATCGGAAGAACATAAACTAACAAATGCGATATTTTTGTGCACGGAGGTTTTTAGCTCGTCACTGTAACGATCACAGTTACTGTTGGGAAACGAGAAATAAAATAATGAACAAAATGGTGCATTTTATATTATCTGGAATCAGCCAATCAGGTTTGATTAATTAGAATCTTATTGCAAAAAGTATCTCAAACACAAAAGCAGCAGATCAAAGCTGGTTAGAAATAAGTCTGCTAAAAAGTAATTGGACAAAATCAGTTTACAAGACTATGCATGAGGGCTTTCAGCAAACCTAAACGACATAGTAGAGTTATAATTAGGCTCTCCATTCCCATCACCACCAAGATCTTGACTGATTGAATGTGTGTCCATGACGAAATACTGACCATATCTACAGCCAACGGTAAACGTGTATGCACCACACATGTAAATGCCGACATTATATGCATATTTGTTGAAGAGCTTCTCCATTGCATTGACAAGGGCAAGCCTTCCACTTGCCGTAAATACACCATAACCGGCAGTGATCTCTTCGGTTAAATAGTATTCATCGTCAGTAACTCCCAATAATCGTAATATTTGAAAAGCTTCCATTGCATCATATTGTCTTTCTTTCTTTCGATAAGGGCTGACAATAAAAGGCGTTCCCTTGATAACATCTTCTGCCAACGCTGCTATATCCAGCTAGTCATCGTGGGTGCCAGAGTCTTTCGGGCGTTTGAGAAGCTGACTGACAAAATTCACAGATAAAAAAGAGCAACTGTTTGTTCTGTCGTTTGAAATAATAATTTCATTATCATCTTCGAAGTGACTGGTAGTGTGCATGGTGATTTCCTCTAGGATGCTGTTTTGGCTAACAGAAAGGGGGATATCCTGGCATCGATCAAGAACTTCCTTTCTCTCCAAATCTTGTACGATCTCATTAATCTTGGGTCTGTTGCTGGAGTTGACGCTAGTACAACGCTTGTGTGTGTTCCAGATGGGAATCCAATCTGTTGCTTGTTTAATGCTGTATTTGTCAGAGTGTTGGGGGCCACAATTGTTGCTTACAACTAGATGCTCCAGAAACTCCATGACATTCTTTGGTCGTGCGGAGGTTATTTCTCTCTGATATGGGTGTTTCAAGTCGGGATTTAAGAGATTGAAGAACACCATACCCAGTGACCACACGTCGATTGCTTTCAGGTCCGCAAGTAAAAGCCTCCGGTTCCCATTCCTTGTATCGTCTGAGAATGTTTCTGGGGCGCGGTATACCGGTGTGCCACGTGTGATGTGATTCGTTGCAGTTTTGCACAGAGTATTTGTTTGAAGGGATAAAGAGCGACTTTCTCCGAAATCGGCCAATTTGCACCTTATCGGCTCCTTTTCCCAAGCATTCGAACCTTGAAAATGACAATTATATGATGGACAATTGACAATCGAATAATTCAAAACACTAAATGAAAGTATTTTATGAAATAAAAATGGGGAACAGTATCAGAAGACAATGCAATGCAGAAGAGTATGACCTATGAGTATGACAGAAGAGTATGACATTTTTACCAAAATTGACACCACTGCCGTTGCTATGGTAACCAATAACCATGATATTTCACTATGGTAGATTTTTTTGCTTTATTAATTAAAAACTAATATATTATTTTCACTAATCGAACATGTGGGGGGTCACAATGAAATGTCATGGTACCATTGTAATAGTAGCACTTGATGTCAATGTCATACTTTTCAGGTAGTATTTTCTATAACTCTGATACTATTTGCTTTTCAACCAGCAACAATAAATGCCTTTTTTAGCATATAAGTTAGGGAGGGGGCAATTTCCTCCAGTCCCCCTTTGTCCCCCCCCAATCCCCATGAGTCAATATTCCCCCCACCCCCGCAGTGGCGACATCACACCAAACTTTTTGTTTCCAACAACTAACTGTAATATATCTCCACACTCAGTAAAGTATGGTCCTTTTCTGTAAAAAAGGCCCTGGCAACAATTGTTGAAAAGTTTCACCTAAATCATAAATTTTACTCTAATGAAAATATTCCCAAATATAAAATTTAGAAAAATATCTACATATTTAGTGTTCATCCTTCATTTGTGCTAAAGTTAAACGTTCTACATAGAGAAATTGCCAAAAACAATAACAAACCTCTTCCTCTTTTAAATTAGAGTAGTGTTGATTGGAGACAAGTACATTCGCTGGCTTAATATCTCGGTGAACGATACCCAGTTCATGCAGACAAAGCAAACCACGAGAAATATCCAATGAAATCTTAACATGAACGGGAAATTTGCCAACTTGATCTTCAATGGTCGTTGTATTTCAGAAACTGATCCAGACTGCTAACTTTTACCTCTGCTCCAAATGGTTTAAATACTCAAGAATCAGTACGGATGGAACCAAACAAATTCCAATTAATTTTACGACGTACTCACTAGTGATACGTTCCAAGATACGGGCCTCCTTTAAGAAAATCTTCTGCTCTAATGCTTCCTTGTTCAGTATTTTCTTCACAACGAAACTAGCTCTGCACTCATTCGAATCAACATCTGGTCGCTTCGCACTCTTAGCAACAAAAACTGAGCCAAAAGACCCACTTCCGATCGATCCACCAGGCTGTGGAACGATGTCACTCCATTTGCAAACTGTAAACTCTTTTTCCCAATTCTCTCAATAATGTTGTTCTTGCTACCTACACGCTGTTTAACCGAAGGGAACGCCATTTTGGAAAACCTAAAATAATTTCCCGCCATATTTTCCCGCCAATAATTTTGTTGCAATAATTTTGTCTCGTAATTAATTTCGCGACACTTTTATGCTTATTTTCGAAAAAAACAATGTAAATGAATATTTTAGGGTCTTTGTTTTCGTAGTACGAAAACGAAGACGGGTCTTCGTTTTCGTAATTACGAAGACCGAAGACCCATCTTAGGTCTTCGGTCTTCGTTTTCGTAGGTCTTCGTTTTCGAAACCACCAATTCTTGACTGCTTTTAATTTCATCTAAGGCAGATTTAGTCATCTGCAAATGATTTGAAAAAAGATCTTTTATATGAGATGTTTGCTGTTTAAAGCGATGATCCAACAAAGCTTCCATGTCTTGTTGTAGTGATGTTGTAGCTGGCATATCGACGCTTGCTTCGACTTCGACATCATTTTCAGGTTTGTCGCTAACCAGGTCAGACTTTTTCTGATTTTTCCGTTTTGGAGGCATTAAATTATCGCTTCTAATCAATGGTAAGACTTTGAATTAAAACTATATGTATACAACGTAAATGTTTAGGTTATTCTACAGCACAATGTGAATGTATCATGAAATAAAAGTTCAAACATTGAGCGGAGCACTACAACACACGTCTGTTCACGTCCAGATATATGTGATGACCTGTGATGATTTAATTTGTCTGTGGAAGAGTACTGCCAGTTAATGGGTTAAACATTAGTTAATGGGTTAATTGAATGGTGGTGGCTCACATGAAGAGTGGACTGTTGTTCAATTGGTTGCAAGGAATGCTTTCAGATCAATTTTGCCACAACTAGTATATGATGTTAGGTTTCTTTTTAGTTAAATTAATGCCAATCAGTTTTGGGATATATTTAAGGCACACATTGCAAGTCAGGTGATATGAAAAATATAAGAGTGAAATTTCCCAGCCTGTCTGATACTTCACAAATATATAGAGGTGAGGTGCTTTGATCAAGAGAAAGCCTTTTGAGCAAGCCAGACATGCTATTTTTAAAGGGCAGTCACATAAAAGAATTCAATTATAGCAAAAGATTTGTGTTGTGGCTTGCGATTAAGATGTTTATAATCGAAGGAATCTTTGTTGTTGTTTGTCTGTCTGCCTTTTGTTTCTCTCTGTATCATTGCAATGGCAATATGTTATAACTGCACTACATAGCTGCATGACGAAAAGGATGCATGAGTCAATATACCATAGTATATTATTTTATTATTTAGAAAATTTCCTGGCTTTAGCCCGTGCATGTTTTATATTTCTACAAATACTATATTTTATATCCACACAATATTTTAGTAAACACATCTCTATCTTGTCTAACCTGTGATCAGGCCTATAAATATATAAATAGGCCTCGACCATATTTCGGTTGTAAATCTGATTAGTTCTATGATCGGGTTTGGTAGAAAATGCGGGTTGTGGGTAGTCTTTTGCAGGTTGCAGGTAGTTTTTTCCCGGTTGTGGGTAGTTTTTTTTAGGGTAGATTTTTTAAAAATTTGATGTGCTATTTAATGAATCAATTTGAAATAGTATATCGAAAATATAATAGTTTTTACAACTATATTTGCTAATTCGTTTCCTTCATAAAAATAGATTTATTTATACAACCTTTCATTCATATTATTACACTTATTTCCCCTGCACAATCCATACACTTATTTCCCCTGCACAATCCAAAATCCAAAATATACATTATAATCATGAAGCCCAAGTTACATGATACTGGATTTGCTTGTTAGTTTATAACCTGCACCGAACAACGAAAACGAACGAATATCATTGAAATTGCAAAAGCTGATTGGTTTGCATATTTATACATGTACGAATAGACCAAAGTCTGAATGAACGAGTGAACGAAAGACACAGTTAGTATGAGCCAGACTATGCCTATGGGAGATATGTTACAACCTACTGACAAAATGGGCATGTCTTATTATGCTTATAAAGCCTTTATGAAGTTCAAACTTTGGTATACGCTATTCGGTGTCACGCATGTAAACAAGGTGGGCATATTTTTCATGAAGTTAAAGCACGCAATGGAATACTTTGTACTCGCATTAACACAATATTTATTATCCCACCGCAAATAATTCAGCGTTTTTGATAACTTCACTAACTTAACGTTAACAAAAGATCGGAAATTCATGATTTTCGATAAAACAAACAACTGAACACGCTATTACAAGAGATGATCAATACCAGTGCAAATTGAATTTCATTCTACTTTAACACAATGTTTATAATAAACAATTAAACTGCCAGGCAAAACTTCAAGAATCAATATTTTCGAAAAAACAAAACTTTAATGGTACAATAAGGACTTTTTAAAGTTGCATATTTCATAGTGTAAATACTGCGGTTTGTACAGTATGTGAAGGCAAGAATGTCTGTCGACACCATTTCTGTCATGAGCAATGCCGTGTTTTCTGTTGTTTGCTGTCGGCCATATATTCTCGAGATGAGGTGTAATTCAGACATGCCAAGTCTCACGCTTTTAGCGTAAGACTCACGCTTTTGACCACAATCTCACGGTCTCGCGCTTTCATGCTTGAATCTCACGCTAAACACTAAATGTCACCACAAGTTTCATTAAAAGCTTTACCATAATTACCAACAAAGTTACAAGAAATAACTGGTCAAAAAATGGTGAAAAAAACGCTATAATATTATAAAACTTAACTATATCGCCTAATCCAACAATAAATAAACATGGTAAATAATTATTATAATTTATCGGACACATTTGACATTTCATAAATTATTTTTTGGATAATTTATTCTGATCGAATTCAAGATGGCGACCACATCAAAGCGATGTGCTTCATCGAGCAACGAAGAGTCAGTGTCAGACAGTGACAGTGACACTGATTGTGAGCGTGAGCAAAACAAAAATGTCTCTAAACAAGCTAAGTCTACAAAACCACAGAAACGGAAAGGTGCTGGTACATATAAAGTTGCTTATAAAGCAGAATGGGCTAAAGAATTTCCAATTCGAGCTGTTTCCAACTTTAAACACAAGTTCCATTGTATTCCGTGTGGAAAAAACATAAACATGTCATCACCAAGGTTTGGGTGACGTAAAGAAGCATTGTTGTGGAGAACTACATACGAAAAATGTAGCATCGTGGAAAAAACAGAAAACTATGAATATGTTTAATTCAAACAAGCAAACCACGCTTTCACAAAAAGTTATCAAAGCTGAAGTAATAACTACAAACTTTCTCGTTCAGCACAATTTACCCATAGCTACTGCGGATCACCTTGGACCTCTTTTTAAAGAGATATTTCCTGATAGCAAAATCGCTGCATCATATTCTTGTGGTAGAACCAAAACATCATGTATCCTGAATGAAGCGCTTGCCCCTCAGTGTCACAAATACATTATAGAACACTGCCAAACACATCCTTATAGTGTTGGTACGGATGGGTCCAATGATACAGGGGTGGCTAAGATGAACCCTGTAAGCATTAGACTATTTGATATTAATCGGTTACTAACCATTTTTTTGACATGTGCTTGACAAAAGGAGAAGATGGGGCCAAAGCTTATAAAATATTTGAAGCTATCGAAGAAACGTTCACCAGAGACTCAATGCTGTGGACAAATTGTGTTAGTCTTAGTATTGACAATACTAATACAATGATAGGAGCCAATAACTCTGTTGCTTCACGCTTTCTGGAAATGAATCCTGAACTATTTGTTGCAGGCTGTCCATGTCATCTTGCACATATTGCTGCGAGTCATGCCAATGATGCTTTTAGTGACATTTTGGGAATTAATGTTGAGGACATTTGCATAGATTGTTTCTATTGGTTTAGCAAAAGTTCGAAGCGTAAAGGCAAGCTCCTTGAATATTTTGAGCTTTGTAATCAAGACTATCAAGCTGTTTTAAAGCATTTGTCTATTCGATGGTTATCATTACAGCGCTGCATAGACAGAATTCTTAAAAAGTATCCTAGTTTAAAGTCATACTTTTTAAGTGAAGAATCTCCTGATCAGCGATTCCAAAGGTTATGTGATCGGTTTGGCAATCCGTTGTTAGAGCCTGCCCTGCTCTTTCAATCTGCAGCGATTTTTAACTCATTTTAACCTTCTACTTCAAAGGGATGAACCAACCGTTCATGTTGTGCAGCCAGCAATGGAAAGTCTAGCAAGAAAGCTTGCTAATCGAATTGTTCTACCACGAGTTTTGATAGATGTTGATTCGGTAACCGAACTAGACCTTGATGATGAAAGTATTTTTATAAAGTCAACATCACTATTTCTGGGAGGCACCACTAAGTTTACACTGAACAGATTACGCAATGATGGTACCATAAATGATTCTGATTACAACAAAGTACACAATGCTGCTCATCATTATTTCAAAAGTGCTTTAAAATACATTTTTGATAAATTCCCAATTGGCAATGATGTGTTGTGCAATGCTGTGTGGGTAAATGTTCCCAAGCGTCTAGACACTACTTGGGAAAGTGTGCAGTTCTTTTTGGAAAAATTCTCATTGCTGACGTTGCTCCAAGGTATCAATCCTGACATCCTGCATGAGGAATTTGTAGATTATCAAACATTGCCTGATGATGCTATTGGTCAAGGAGCATGGGAAGAAGCGAAAGTTGTTGATGGCCAAGATGAAGATGGCAATGAAATTGCTCATCATAGAGTAGACATTCTCTGGTGGCATCTAGCTCACTTGAAAGTGCCAGGAACATCACAGAATCGGTTCAAAAACCTGTCAAAGGTTGCAGAAATTGTTTTAGTTATTCCACATAGCAATGCTGAACAAGAGAGGCTTTTCAGCATTGTTAGAAAGAACAAAACAGACAGTCGTTCCAACCTTAAGCTTGATGGTACCTTATCAAGCATTTTAGCAATGAAAACAACATACCCAGAATCATCGACACCATGTTATAAATGGAAACCTGATGACGAGGTGCTTACAAATTCAAAAAAATCCACCGTGAGCTACAACAAGAAGCACATCGGGGATGCGCAGTAAATTACCTAATACAGAAGTTTATATACTGACATTTTTCATTTATTCCATTTTAGACATGCAATGATGCAATAAGTTATGTATGATATGTTAGTATATCATATGAGTTCATTGAGTTGTGTTTTGTCACGTAGATTTGGCATTTTGTACGCTTGTTGGCATTGCAAACTATACTTTGTGTCACTCTTTCTGTGTATATACAGTTTTAGCGTTTAACGTGCGTGTTTGTTGTTGACGTTTCTAGCCAGGCAAACTGTTGTTTCTATAGGTGTGCAATGGTTTGTTTCCATTGGCTAAAGTACAAGTTGTGCTATTTACAAAGCAACGTATTTTTTTGCCAATGGAAACAAACCATCGCACACCTAGAAACGACCGTTTTCCCGGCTAGAAACGTCGCGTTCCAACGTCAACAACGATCGCGACAAACACGCAAGAGGCAGTCTCTGTAAGAACCTCATGACCTCTTTGGATCAACAAAT